ATAACTAATGCGTAACTTTTGCCACAAATTGGGCAACCAAAGAAGTCGATAGAGTTACGAGTTCCGAAACCTCTGGATTTATCTATGGTGTTTATTTATTCTGGACACACTTTTCTTTTTTAGAGGCTTTAAAAGACCAGATACAAAATTTTATTCAATTCAATTCAAGCAAAGTTTACTAAAATTAAGTCAACAAGAGTTCCTGAAATGTTCTATGTATCCCTCATTGTGATAGACATTGGGAATAAAAAAGTAAATATAATGTAGTCCTCAGCTCAAGGGGAGTAGCTCTGTTGGAGAAGGGAAGTCTGTAGAATTCTTACCATAGGGCATGGTGTTTAGACTGAGTTTTTATATGTTTTTAAAGCACACTGTGTTGGTTAATTTTATGTGTCAACTTGGCTGGGCCATGGGTCCCAGATATTTGGTCAAATATTATTCTGGATGTTGCTGTGAGGTGTTTTTTGGATAAGATTAACATTTAAATCAGTGAACTTTGAATAAAGCAGATTGCCCTCCATGATGTGGGTGGGCCTCATTCCAATCAGTTAAAGGCCTTAATAGAACAAAGACTAATCTCCCCCGGGCAAAAAGGAATTCTGCCAGCAGATGGCTTTTGGACTTGAACTGCAACATTACCTCTTCCCTAGGTCTCCATAGTCACATGAGCCAATTCTTTAAAATAAATCTCTCTCTGTATACACACACCCCATTGGTTCTGTTTCCCTGGAGAAGCCTGACTAATACACACCCCATACCATAACACTAATGTTTTAAATTGTAACCTTTAAATTGTAGTTCCATATTTTACCACGATTCATCGCTTATAGTTCACATCTGTTATTTGGTTCCTTCTCTGACAGCCTCACTAGACAGTAAGATCTTTGAGGGTACCTGGGCATTTTTTCATTTGTGTACTCCTAAACTATCTAGCATAGAGCTGAACCACTTATTAGCTGTGTAACTTTGGACAAATTACTTCATGTCGTTAACCCTCAATTTTCTCATTCGTAAAGTGTGGATAGTAAAAGTAACTACCACTTAATAGAATTGCTCTTAGAGTTGATTGAGATAAGACTATAAAGAATTTAGTATAGTTCTTAGTACCACAGTAGGCAGTCAATAAATCTTATTTTTTGTTATTATTATTATCTGCACCAGCAGAATAGTTAGTACTCAATGAATATTTTTAAATACAAATTTAAAATGATAGCACTGATAGAAGTTATTATGCTCAAGATGAAGAATAATAATACCATATAGAAGCTTCAGCTCAATACATTTGAGAGATGTGGGTGCTTACTGAAACCACCTCCAATATTATAAAAAATGATTTTGTTTTTTTGTTTTTTTGTTAAGGAAGATTGGTCCTGAGCTAACATCTGTTGCCAGTCTTTCTCTTTTTGCTTGAGGAAGATTATCCCTGAGCTAACATCTGTGCCAATCTTCCTCTATTTTGTATGTGGGACACTGCCACAGCATGGCTTGATGAGTGGTGTGTAGGTCTGCGCCCGGGATCTGAACTCACAGACTCCAGGCCACCGAAGTGGAGTGCGCAAACTTAACCACTATGCCAATGGACCGGCCTGTAAAACATGATTTTTGGGTACATCTTATATGCAAAACAAAAGTGTAGAATAAAAAATGTTCTCAGATGTTACCAGTTATGTATTCCAAATTTAATTTTGCATTTGTCTTAAAATGTTTTGATGTTGCTTAATTTGTTCCCATTAGTTTCAAATAATTTTTCTGAAGTCTGCATTTAGGAATGGATTCAGTATTCTGAATTGGTTATTATGCAGAATAAAAAAAGAATGTGGTAGGATTATAAGGGTATAGTTAAATTTTATCAGGTTATGAGTAATTTTTCATAATTTTTCCTTTTGCATTTTTATTGATGAGGGATAAATGTCTTTGAGTTAAATTATGTAGTCTATCAGTGGAGGAAAGAACACAAAATTGAAGATTAGTTTTTAGATAATTGTTTTTTTTTTTTTGTGGGGAAGATCAGCCCTGTTCTAACATCTGCCAATCCTCCTCTTTTTTATTTTTATTTTATTTTATTTTATTTTTTTTGCTGAGGAAGATTGGCCCTGGGCTAACATCCGTGCCCATCTTCCTCCACTTTATATGGGACGCCGCCACAGCATGGTTTGCCAAGCGGTGCTTCGGTGCGTGCCCGGGATCCGAACCGGCGAACCCCGGGCTGCCGCAGCGGAGCTTGCGCACTTAACCACTTGCGCCACCTGGCCGGCCCCTTAGATAACTGTCTTTTGTATTTAAAGAAAAAAGAAATAAGAAAGCAATTGGTTACATTTTTACTCAACTTTCTCTTTAAGCTAAAAAATTTCAACTTGTAAAACATACACTATGGAAAGTTATATAAAGCAGTGAAACCTGTATAATTTTCTATTTTTTTAAAATTTGCAAACTTGATAATGATTACAGGAAGACAGTGGCCTAACCTCTCCACGCAGAGTTAGTAATAATGTACTCTACTGAGGTCTCTTACTGGTAAAATTTCATCGCTTAAAAGCAGCAATATGGTTTGGGACACCTACTGGAATACTAAAGACTTGATTAATTGCAATTAAATAACACTGGGTTAAGCATTTTATTTTTTGTCATTTTTGGATTATTTTCATCATGTTTAGTATCAACATCCATGAAGCTGCTGTGGTACAGGCAATCTATTTTGAAATAGAGGAAAGCTCATCTGTATGGGGTAAGAAGGGAATTAATATGGTGTATCAAACTCTCTATCAAGTCTACAATTCTATCACACCAAAAATTAACACTAAATTCTGCCAAATTTAGGGAAAATTATCAATCACTTATTTTGATGACATGTAAACCAAAGAAGTTTGATTTTTTTTGATTGATGACTTCACTTGATACAGTGTCTTCTAAATGTAAATAATTTCATGTATCTAGTCACGTAAAGAACTGTTGAATCCCTGTCATATACAAGATAGTCCTGAGTCTTCCTTTCAGTGGCTCACATTTTTAGTAGAGGAAATAAAATGAAGCACAAATAGTAGTAATACAGGGTGGTTAATGTTACTATTAGAGTTCAAAGCAGGGAGAGATCACCTTTAGATTGTTGGGCAAAGGACGTAGTAAAGGAAGTGACAGAGGTATAGAACCATAAATGGTCAGGTATGGAAGGGCACTTATACATCACTTTTCATTTCACAGCTGAGGAGATTGAGGCCAGAAAGAGTGAAGACTTGTCTGAAGTCGTATTATAAAAATATGACAACACCTAGATTAGAATCCAGGTTCCATATTTCCTTGTCTAATGGACTTTTTAAAAATAGCAGCTTTATTGGGGTATAATTCACATACCATAAATTCACACTTTTAAAGTGTGCAATTCAACAGTTTTTAGTATACTAACGTAGTTGTGCAACTATTAACATTATCTAATTCCAGAACATTTTCATCACCCCCAAAAGAAACCCTATAACCCATAAGCATTCACTTTCCATTCTTCCCTCCTTGCAGACCCTGGCAGTGACTAATCTGTTTTCTGTCTCTGTGGATTTGACTATTCTAGACTTATCACATAAAGAGAATAATAAATATATAGCCTTTTGTTTCTAACTTGTTTTACCTACTATAATATTTTAGAAGCTCATCCATGTTGTAGCATGTATCAGTAATTTATTCCTTTTTATTGTTGAATAATATTCCAGTGTATGGATATACCACATTTTGTTTATCCATTCATTAGTTGATGGACAGTTAGGTTGTTTTGACTTTTGGGCTGTTATGAATAATGCTACCATAAACATTTGTGTATAAGTTTTTTGTGTACATATATTTTCAAATCTCTTGAGTATATATTTGAAGTGGAATTCCTAGGTCATATGATAACTCTAAGTTTAACTTTCTGAGGAACTGCCAAACTGTTTTCTAAATCAGCTGCACCAGTCTTCATCCATACCAGCAATGTATAAAGGTACCAATTTCTCCACATATTCATCAACGCTTTTTAATTTTAGCCATCCTAGTGGGTGTAAAGTGCTATCTCATTGCTTTTTTTTTTTCTTTTTTTGCTGAGGATGATTCACCCTGAGCTAACATCTGTGCCGATATTCCTCTATTTGTAGGTGGGTCACTGCCACAGCATAACTGACAAGTGGTGTAGGTCTGCTCCTGGGATCCGAACCTGTGAACTCAGGCTGCCAAAGGGGAGTGCGCCAAGCTTAACCACAAGGCCACAGGGCTGGCCCCCACATTGTGGTTTTGATTTGCATTTCCTTAATGAATAATGAAGTTGAGCATCTTTACATGTACTTATTGGCCACTTCTATATCTTTTTTTGAGAAATGACTGTTCAATTTTTTTTCCACCTTTTAAAAAATGGTTTATTTCTCTTTTTATTATTGAGTTTGTGTTCTTTATATATTATGGATACAAGTTCCTTCACAGAAATATAATCTGCAAATATTTTATTCCATTCTGTGCATTGTCTTTTCACTTTTTTGATGATGTCCTTTGAAGCAGAAAAATTTTTAATTTTGATGAAGTCCAATTTATTTTTTTTCTTCACTTTTGGTACTATATCTAAAAAGCTATTGCCTAATATAAGGTCAGAAAGATTTATTCTTATGTTTTCTTTAAGAGTTTGATAGTTTTAGGTCTTACATTTAGGTTTGTGACCTATTTGGAGTTACTTTTTGTGTATGATGTGAAGTAGGGATCCAACGTCACTCTTTTGCGTGTAGATTTCAGTTGTCTCAGCACCATTTGTTGAAAAGACTATTCTTTCCCCACTGAATTGCCTTGATACCCTTGTCACAAATCAATTGACCATAAATATGAAGGTTTATTTTTAGATTATCAATTTTCTTTCAATGAACTATATATCTATCCTTCTGTCGGTATTACACAATCTTGATTACTGTAGCTTTATAGTAAGTTTTGAAATCAGGAAATGTGAGTCCTGCATCTTTGTTGTTCTTTGTCAAGACTGTTTTGGCTCTGTGAAGAACATTGCCACCTTAACAATACTAAGTCTTCCAAACCACAAATATGGGATATCTTTCCATTTATTTAAGTCTTCTTCAATTTCTTTCAATAACGTTTTGTAGTTTTCGGGTATAAAACTTGCATTTTGTTAGATTTATTCCTAAGGATTTTGTTCTTTTTGATGCTATTATGGATGGAATGTTTTCTTAATTTCATTTTCAAATTGCATTGCTACTGTATAAAAATACAATTGATTTTTGGATATTGATCTTGTATTCTGTAACCTAGAAGAACTCATTTATTAGCTCTAATCATTGTGTCTGTGTGTGTGTATATGTGTATTTGTTTGAATTATCTATATATGTATATACAAGATCATGTCTTCTGTGACTAGAGATAGTTTTACTTCTTTCTTTCCAATCTTGTATTTCTTTTTATTGTCTAATTGCCCTTTCTAGGACCTCCAATATAACATTAAATAGAAGTGCTGAGAGGAGACATCCTTTTCCTATTTCTAATCTTAAGGGAATCCTTTTTATTTCTGTCAGGTTGTTAGTGTTGCGCCCTTTTTCTTTCCTGATTTTGGTAATTTAAGTCTTCTCTCTTTGTCTTAGTCAGTCTAATTAAAGGTTTGTCAATGCTTTTATTTTCTCAAAGAACCAACATTTGTTTTTGTTGATTTTTGTATTCTCTGTTTCTTCATTTCTACTCTATACTTTATTATTTCCTTCCTTCTGCTTGCTTTGGGTTTAGTTTGCTCTGTTTTTTTCTAGTTTTTTAAGGTGGAAGGCTAAGATACTGATCTTTATTCTCTTTTCTTTTTTAATATAGGTGCTTATAGCTACACATTTCCCTTTTAAGTACTGCTTTAGCTGCATCCCATAAGTTTTGGTATGTTGTGTTTGGTATGTGTGTTCTCCTCAATGTATTTTCTAATTTCCCTTGTGATTTCTTCTTTGACCCATTTTTTATTTAGAAGTGTGTTGTTTAATTTTACATATTTATGAATTTCTAAAATTTCTTTCTGTTACCAATTTCTAATTTAATTTCCACGTGGTCAGAAAACATATTTTTTGTGATTTCAATCCTTTAAATTTATTGAGACTTGTTTTATGGCCAACTATATAGTTTATCCTGAAGAATACTTCATATGCGCTTGAGAAGAATGTGTAATCTGCTGACAATGGGTGGAGTGTTCTATAGATATCTTTAGTTCTAGTTGGTTTATACTGTCTTCAAGTCTTCTATTTCCTTGTTGATCTTTTCCTAGTTATCCTATATGGTATAGAATAATGGGTATTGAACTCTCCAACTATCATTGTTGAATTATCCATTTCTCACTTCAATTCTGTCAGTTTTGCTTCATGTGTTTTGGGGCTCTGTTGTTAGGTGCTTGTATGCATATAAGTGCTATGTCATCCTGATGGATGGATCTCTTTATCATTAAAAAATGACCTTCTTTGTCTGTGGTAACAATTTTTGCTTTAAAATCTATTTTGTTTGATATTGGTATAGCCACTCCAGCTGTCTTTGGTTTATAACTTTTTATATACTTTACTTTCCACCTATTTGTGTCTTTAAATCTAAAGTATGCCTCTTGTAGATAGCATATAGTTGGACCTTTTAAAATTCGTTCTGCCAATCTCTGACTTTTTATTGGAGCATTTAGTCCATTTACATTTAAAGTAATTACTAATAAGGTAGAATCCTTTGTATAAACTAGATACTAGCCCTTTGCCAGGTTTTGACTTTGAAATATTTACTTGCAATCTGTCATTTTTCTGTTAACTTTGTTTATGATATTCTTCACTGAACAGAAATCTTTAATTTTGATGCAGTCAAATCCATTAAATTTTTACCTTATGATTTGTACTTTTGGAGATTTTTAAAGTTTTTCCTCTACCTAGATTATAAAAATATTCTCTTAGGTCATTATAGCAGGTAAAATAATGGCCCTCCAAAGATGTCCATGTCCTAATCCCTGGAACATGTGAATATGTTACTTTATATGATGAAAGGGATTTTGCAGATATAATTAAGATTTAGTATCTTGAAATAGGGAAAATTATTCTGATTTATTCAGATAGACATAATCTAATCATGTGAATCCTTCATAGTGTAGAACATTTCCTGGCTATGGTTTGTCAGAGAAAGAGATATGAAAACAGAAGCAGGATCAGAGACATGCTATATTGCTGGCTTTGAAAATGGAGGAAAGGAGCCACAAACCAAGGAAGATAGATGGTTTCTAGAAATCGGAAAAGGCAAAGAAAAGGATTGTCCCCTTAGAGCCCCCAGAAAGGAATGCAACCCCACCAAAACCTTGATCTTAGCCAGGTAAGACCCATGATGGACTTCTGACTTATAGAACTGTAAGAAAATAAATGAATATTGTTTACACCACTAAGTTTGCGGTAATATGTTACAGCAATAACAGAAAACTAATACATCATAGACATATTTTTCTACATTTCTGTTAGCTTCTTACTTTTATCTTCCTATTTAGATCTTTAATTCATTTGGAGTTCTCTTTGTATGTGATGCAAGGTAGGAATCTAGCTTTATTTTTCTCTATATAATGACTCATTTTTCCAACACTATCTACAACCAGGCTTTTTTCATCATTGGATATTGCCACTGTAATCGTATTTCAAATTTCCATATATTTCTGTGTCTGTTTCTATGTTCTATATTTGTTTTCAGTGTTGTAGTTGTCCATTGCTGTAAATTACCACCTTGTTTTTGTTATTATGGATTTGTGGACATATCTGTTTTAATATCTGGTGTGGAAATTTTCCACATCTTATTCTATTTTTTAAAAATTTGAATCAGTTATTCATAAACTTTTAAATCTATATTTTAAAATATAGAATTTGTTGAATTCTTAAAAATAAGTTAAAATTTCTATTAAAAAAACCCATCCTATAAGGATGTTTTAATATAGATTTATTTTAGGAGAATTGAAATTTTTAGTATGTTAAATTATTTCATCCATGAACATGGTATATCTCTCCATTTATTTAAATCATTTGTGAACTTTAATAGCTCTTTGTGTAGAAGTATTTGACACTTCTTTCTCTTTATGTCAGCCTGTTTGTGTGCTGAGATGTCTTTGATCTCATATCTTAATTTGTTCTATTATGTTTTAACATGAATGTTGCAGGAGACAACTTCGGCTCACATTTGATTTCACCCCTTTCTCCTTTGAGGCAAAACTCAGTTATTTATTGTCACATATTTAAGATCAATTCCAACTACAAGAGTATTGACTAGTAATGTCAACTTTACATGTTTTATAGACAGGCAGAGACAAAGATGCAAACTTCATTACACAGAAATTAATTGAGATTACCTATCAGACATTTCTGTTCAGCTAAATTTCCTTTTCTGCCCTCGGTTGATTGATCTCTTTCTCCTTCAACATTGACTATCTAGATATACAAGTTCTAGTTTCTTTCTTGGCCAGAGCAATGTTATTATTTTAGCTTCTCCAACAATTAATTTCCTATACACATCATTGAACTCTATCTTCACTATTGAGAATGACCATTTTATGGAGAATGACTTGGATTTGAGCAAATCATAGGCCTTCTTAAGGATCCGTCTTCTTTAGAAGAGTGAGAGTCCTATAAATAATAAGTATTTACAGTTTTTATCTTGTCCACTTTTGATTTATGCTGCCAATTGTTGAATGAGCTGTTCTGTCTTTTTCAGAATTTTACATTCCTTTTTGTCTAAAGCCAATCATACTTACTTTATTGGGCTGTATAAGTTAACAGAAAATGGTATGGACTGTGGTGTTAAATAAAACTATACTTGAGGCCTGGCTCTGCCAGTTGCTACCTATGAGCCATGAGATCATGTTCTTATCCTTGCTTCCTCTCAATTTTCTCTTTTGTAAAGTAGGGCTGGTAAAAGAACATGCTTTGTAGAGTTCCTTTAAGAATTAAATTATGCCTATAAAGCTCTCAATATATTTGTGGCTTTTGATAAATCCTCAATAATTTTTACTGATTATATTATTATTACTTATTATTGAAAGGGAGTAGAATATGCCACCCCAAAATATATCTCTTTGGCATAAAGATTATGTTGAGCTGAAGGCAGCCAAGAACCAGCAGACTCAGGAAAAGCTTTTTACCTCCCCCTTAACTGCTGAAAAGAATTTAGAAAGGGGGTCTGTACCAGGAAGAGAGATATTTCCAGAGATAACGTTTTCATTTGAGAGATTTATCTCTACAGCAGGGCAAATGTTTGTTTACCAAATGTTTACTTGTCTCATCTTCCCATGAATTGTCTTCCTCCCCTTTGAAACCACAGACCCTTCTCCCTTTCCTTAGCTTAGGATGGTATATAAGCCTCAGTTGCCTGATTTCCTTTGAGTTTCATATCTTTGTGGGACTTTCATACGTATGTACAAAATTAAATTTGTTTTTTTCCTGTTAATCTGTTCTTTTATTACAGGAGAGTCTCAGCCAAGAACCTAGAAGGGTAGAGGAAAAACTATTTTTCCTTTTCTTACATTATCATCTTCAGATATATTATTCTGATCTCTTTTCCTGTTCTAGGTAGTAGAAGACTTATCTAACAACTAGAGCCTCTTACAGTTGTAGGTAAGAGGCTGTGAGAAATGTAAACAGAATTCTCTTTTAACATGGAAGCATCTAGGAATTGTGGGAAAGTAGAGACTCTATTAGAGTCCTAGGGAAGTCTATCTAACCACTCTTCCCCAATTCTGCTGAGCAATTCAAAACTCTAAGACTCCTTTGGGGGTAGCAGCAAAGCTATTGCAGTAGTGTTCCCCAATGGATAGTCATATCCAATACCTTGGGGAAAGCCTGAGAACTTATGCCCAAAAGTGATGGTCCAGTAAGTATTGAGAGAAGGTGAGACATGTATAACTCTAAAATCAGAATAGATATTTTGCTGATAACAAGTAGGTTGTCACTTGTCCAAATTTACACATAGCATTAGTTGCAGTATAAATGTCCCCAGTCTCCTGACTTCTAATCTGATGCTATTCCATTCAGTCATGCTCCTTCACCCCCTCTCCCACTTATAATAGGTCTCAGAGGAATGAGATTCACTTATTTTTCTCACTACAGAAAGATCTCTA